TTCGTGTTAGCAACGGATTTGTACTTTTCCAATATCGCATCAGAAATATAGTGAAAATACGAAATCGTTGCGTACGAAGGTACTATATTGATTCCAGTGAGCATTCACCGTAGAAAGTTTGCGGTATTCCAAGATGCACTCACACGTGTAATTGAACTTTCCTCGAAACTTTCCTCAGAGACAATACATACGCACCTCAATTAAAATTGTCACGAAAGACGACTTCCTAGAGCACTTTATGTGCTCGAATTATGCAATTTATTTTGTCGTTCGCACCGGTGGTGATAGGGCGTAATGTCATTCCGGGCGGGTAGGAACACCTACCACCTAATAGACATAGTATCATACTCTGTCTATTTCTGCGGCAATGCTGTAACACGTATCGGTTTGAAGGCTGATTCAGCCGTTATATGGCAATACGATACGACGTAGGATCACCTACCACCTAATAGACAGAGTATCATATCATCAGTATCATGTCTATATATATATATATATATAGACAGATACTCTATTTATTTATAGTAGAGTAGAGTATCATACTCTGTCTATTTCTGCGGCAATGCTGTAACACGTATCGGTTTGAAGGCTGATTCAGCCGTTATATGGCAATACGATTTGTGACTTCAACCGAAACGGATCCCAGTATTCACGTTTAAATGTCTTTATGCTCCAGTAACGACTATCACAAGACGGGCCATGAAGTCATCCACCATTATATAAATAAATCTCCAGTAATTAATGCATTTTTTTATAAAGATTGCATTACATATACAATCTAGAATCTCATTATCTATACTAATATTATAAAGAGGAAAGATTTGTTTGTTTGTTTGTTTCGAATAGGCTCCGAAACTACTGGACCGATTTGAAAAATTCTTTTTCCATTAGAAGCCGACATTGTCCCTGATGAACACAGGCTATTTTTTAAAAAAAAAAATTATTTTATTTTTTTGGTTTCATGTGTGTTTTAATGTTTCCGAAGCGAAGCGAGGGCGGGTCGCTAGTGGCTTATATTTTTGAGTTAGGTACCTAGTATTCAATTTTAAAAAATTTACCTATCGAATATTTAGGTGATATATAGAATTTACTGTAAGCTACAACAACCTCGTAAGTTTTGGCTATGACTTTGGGAATAATAACGAAGGGGGGATCTTTCACCGAACTGGTGAAATTGCTCGGCAGACCGACGACGGTTCAAATATTGTTGTTCGGAACTTGTATATATGTGGGATGGTATGGCGAAATCTAGTGGATATTTAGTTTAACAACAAAATCTTTTATTCTTTCAAAAAATACTCCATACACATTCGTAACATCGTTATGTCAAACTTATATCTGTCAAATGACAGATATAAGTTTATATTTTCTTCTTTTAAAAATAAAACTCGTGTGCCAGTGTGAATTAACCAAAAAGTACCGATATCCCACTCGGCCATTCCTACCCATTCGTCTGCCTCAGACGAATCAGTTCATAGCTTAATAAAATTAGCAAGGCTAGTCGTATGTATCGGACCTCCTCCATTCCCAATCTTCAACTTTTAGTCGTCCTCTTCTATGATTCTCTCTTATAATTTCTTTTTCCATCTTCTTTGGTACAGCGATAAAACTACTTCCATTCTTCTCTTTGTACAGTATTCTATTTTGTGTCAAATGATTCTGGTAAGGTACTTTAACCAACTTCTTGCAGTCTTCTTTCTCTAACTTCTTATAATCTTCTGTCTCTAACTTCTTGTAATGTTCTTTTCTTAATTTCTTGTAGTCTTCTTTGACCTCGTCCTTCTCTGCAACAATAGCACAAAGTGGTATCCTCTCCATTACAATACCATTTCTTGTAAACTTAACTTCGAATTCACGCAGTATGGGGTTGCCAATGATCAGCTTTACAGGTATTATATCATCTTCCACAATGTAAAATTTGATATCCGTAACAGCATTATCAATCTGTAGCTGAGTAGTAAAAACACCTTTGATAAGTAGTTCTTTGTTAGCAATGCCCGTAAGACGAACTTCTGAATTCTTGTCATAATTTTGGATATTATTTTCAATTTTTTCAAATTCTGATTGTATAATAAGGTTCGCGTCACTACCTGTATCGATAAAAGCCACCATCTCTGTTCCATTCAATAACACTTTCTTGTAAGGGATTTTTTCTTCTTCGTTTTTCTTCTGAATAATTAAAGACTTTTTATCATCATTCTTACATTCGTTTCCCTTGTGACCGAATTCATTACACTTAAAGCATTTAATGCCCTTTGTACAACAGGAGGATTGATGGTCTAAATCACCACAGTTATAGCATCTTTTAAAATGCGGTTTTCTTGATGGCGATGTGCCTGCATCTGCATTTACTCGCGGAACTGCCTGGTGATATGATTGTGTACTCATTTTCTTCCGAATATCACTGTAATCGTCCAGCTTCTTTCGAAAATCACTGTAGATGTCTAGCTTCTTTCGAAAATCTTTCAAGTCTGTAGCTCCATATAAAATTGCTTTGTTAGATTCAGGATCATTGATACCATCTATGACGTATTCCATTAAAGCAGCATCATCTACTCTTCCATGCAGTGCTATTTCTTTCATAACTAAAAAGTATTGTTGTATAGTTTCATCATTTTTTATCTTTCGTGAAATAAGCTTCTTGTGAATCTTAGCACTATTAACCTTAGGGCCAAATTCTTCAATAAGGGCTTCCTTCAAAGTAGGATAGTCTTTAACTCTACCAATAGATCTTAAAAATAACTTTGCTGTTCCACCCAAAAGTTTCTTTGCATAGATCAATCTTTCCACTTTGGTCCACTTCATCAAATCAGCAACATCTTCAAATTCATCAAAAAACTCCGAAATCGGGTAAGTATCATCTCCGGTGAAAGGTGTCATGGACTGCTCCAAATCACGAAACGAGATATGCACCTCAACGTCTTCTCTTTCGTCATTATCATTATTCTTCTTAGGAGGCATTTTTTACTTTAGAAATAGTGTATAGATTTTTATGCAAAAAAATAATAATAATCGTCTCGTTGAACTCGAAAATAGTCGTCGTAGTCGTTATTATAATTTTCAGAATAAGTATTCTTCTTAAACAATCTTCAGTAAATAATCTTAAGTAATCTTCATAAGTTTGCATAAAATAACGTTACAAAAAACTTCATCAATAGCGTTATTTTTACACGTCTCGAAGTCTTGAATGCACAACGAAAATGCACTCAACTTATCTCGGTAGAAATTCGTCAATCCACTGTAATTTATCACCGAACGACATCCTGAACGGTGTCCATCCCGGACGAGCCCCCAAAAAGATGTGGGATGGTATGGCGAAATCTAGTGGATATTTAGTTTAACAACAAAATCTTTTATTCTTTCAAAAAATACTCCATACACATTCGTAACATCGTTATGTCAAACTTATATCTGTCAAATGACAGATATAAGTTTATATTTTCTTCTTTTAAAAATAAAACTCGTGTGCCAGTGTGAATTAACCAAAAAGTACCGATATCCCACTTATATACAAGCTTATCTCAAGCGAGATTCAAGCATCAGTCAAATATCTTGTGCTCTATGATGGCTACCGCCACATGACTATTAGCTTATCTATATATTAACACGTGAAGCAAAAACGTTGTACCCCTTTTTACGAAGATTGCGCGGACGGATTAGTATGAAATTTCCCGCACTTATAGAGAATATAGAGAAGAAGTGCAAAATGCTAATATTTTTTTAAAATTATGCATTAAAAATACATTAAATCAATAAAGCAAACATTACACTATCATGTATTTGACACATACACATAGACTCTTAGTTTATTGTCAAACTTTTGTTATGGCTTAAAGTCTGTGGTCAAATTTTTATTTTTTATTAATATTCGTCTATAGTGTAGTCTTGACTAAATCTGTGACTATAGAAGTATAATCGTCTTTAACAATAGGACCATAATAATGTTCAAACTTATAATTTCAATTATTTATAGTCGAATTTCGACGACTGCGGGACCATTAGTTGTATGAAATTGTCACCGAGAATTTCACAGAAAAAATTATCATTCAAAACTCGTCGGGGCAAATACCAAATATGTAAATCGATCTAACCGTTGTTAAGCGATACTCTGGCATAAATCTCCGAATTGAATTTATTCAAATTAACTTGTAATTGCCCACTGATGTTACAGTGAATTTATTTTAAAATTTCATTGGTAGTAGTTACCAGCTAGCTGAGCTAGTTGGTAGTGTAGTATTATGTGGAAAAAAATCAACAGCGATAAAGAAAGTGAAATTGTTAAATACCTGTATGTCATTCATTAACTTTACGAAAGAGAAAACTGACTTTAAGTGATTTTCACTTTCTATCTATACCTTTAATTGAAGAACATATTTTGTGTAATAAAAGTTAAGAAGATAAGCACAATTGTTGTTGTATATTCAACAAAGTGGCAAACACTGTTTCTTGGAACCAATGCCGGGTATTAGTTAATTGAAAGTAAACGGGTCATCTCGAGTTATTGTGAGACTTTGACATTACCGTCACATGAATAAATATCACATACAGAGTTCGAGTTCCTAGAAATGCATTGCAAAATGCACAATTCAATGACGATGATAATTTCCTATCGCTGACAGAGATCAAACTGTCAGGAAAGGCATCAAAATGCGACGCAAAATGCATATGTTTCAATGCTAAACAATTTATAAATATTATTAAGTACAATACGTAACTTTGCAGTTTGAGGCTAAATTTTTAATACTGTGTTCTTCTTCTCTATACAACCAAGCGATTAGTTATGCGCTTAGTATGGTTTTAATGTCATTGAACTATTCTGTCTAAGCGAGAGCTTTTAAGATTAATTGGATAAGATTTGATATTCTATGATTGTATAATATATTAAATTTATTAGCAAATTGTGAATTGATTTTGTATATCATTAAATCTTAACTTTACTATTATTATTTTTTTGCATTTTGAAAAGATAATTTTGTATTGAAAGACAAAAATGTTCTTACCCACAAAAGAAGTAAATGACTGCTCCTATGTTCCTGGAAATAAATTTTATATTTATTATTTTTTTATAATTATAAAATTCTCTATTGCAAACGAGCTCTACAAACTTAATAATAGAGTTACAGCCTCGCCCACCTTTGGAAAAACGGTTACCGTTTCTCATGGAGATCAGCTATATATTTCTACTACCAAACAATATTTTGAATCCTGGAACTGGATGACATGGATATGAAATTCCCTTTTGTAGCCGTCAGCATATTGGTATACCAGAAAACTATTACATTTAATATCTGATAATATAATCTTCTTACGACAATTACTACATACATATATTAATATTAAGAATTTATTACATAAATGTATAGCTGATTCGCGCCAGAAATTGTCAAAGTACATCATACTCTTTTGCTAGATCACAATAAGCTCTACTAGCCTTAATTACTCTAATTAATTAAATAATCAGCTTTGATTTTTCAACATACCGTAGCGAAGCAATCCAGCAAAACGAAAATGAAACCTGATGCTTCTATAATCGAGAAATGAGCAGGGCAGCCGTGGTACCAGTTAGACATTAGAACTCGTGTCTCAAGGTGGGTGGCGGCATTTACGTTGTAGATGTCTATAGGCTCCGGTAATCCACCTACACCAGGTGAGCCGTGAGTTCGTCCTCCCATCTAAACAAAAAAAAAAATTATGGTCCAAGAAAACCACTACAGATTTATAATATGGGGAACACAATATAACTCGAATTTCAGTGGGTATGTACAAGATGAGTGAAGTAGAGATGAAGACACCCGATTGTAGGCAAAAAATCACACCCGCCTTTAGTGGTTTGAAAAAATCAGGTTATTTTTTGCGATACATCGTGCAACCGTATTATGTAATATAACAAACAAAAAATGTCAAGAATAATATAAAAGTATTTGCGTGTCCGATAATTTTCCAACAATCATGTCACGCAAACTATGTTTACTTTGCGAAAAAAAGATTCCTACACAATATAAACAAAGTGAAATTGAATATACAAAAAACTATTTGCATGTCTGATTAAAATAGGCGCGAGTGTCATTAAAAAATATTTGGTGACGGTTTCATTGCTCTGACATTTTCATAATAATCCTAAATAATACTCAAAGAATTAAGCTGCATCCGCCCCCTCCTTAAATTCAAATGAATAATAAAACAATAAAATTTTACATTACTTTTGGAGCTACGCAAACAGTTAATTCAAATTGAAATAAAAGGTTTGACAACAGTTACAATAATGTTAATAGAGACAAAGAAAGTTTTTTGTGTTCAGTACACAATCACATGACGTTTATCCTATCATATTTTTCATTTAGAATATAACTAGGTGGTTTTTTGAATCAAAATCACATATAAATTAAATTAAATGGTGTTAAGCTTGCATCACTTTTGAACCAGTTTGACATGTTTGATATATATACATGTACCACAAATTCACAAAACGATAGTAAAATGTATTGGTGGCAGGGCGATTTTTTTTTATTGCCCTTGTAGGCAGACGATCATACGGCCCGGGCCACCTGATGGTGAGTAGTTACCGTTGCCCATGGGCTTCAGTAATGCCAGGGGCAGAGCCAAGCCGCTGCCTACCGCTTTTGTGAGCTCGCACGTGATACCACCACCCTGCCTGTTTCTGCCGTGAAACAGTAATGCGATTCGGTTTGACGGGTAGGTCAGCCGTTGTACTGTAAAAACTGAGACTTAAAACTCATGTCTCAAAATGAATGGTGACATTTAACTTGTTGATGTCTATAAATGGTAAGTGGTTACCAGGTGGATTGTGACTCGTCCACCCTTTAAATCAATGAAATAAAACAGAATTCGTAATTTATAAAAATGTTACCGGAACTACGGTGTCAAGGCGGACTACGAAATTCAATGTGAACTGTTACGTATCTTCGGCACGAAAAGTGATTTTAACGGCTTGGAGTGACGTGTTAGTGAACCCTAATACGTTATCAGAAAATTAACAAAATTTAATACAATACCAATATTTAAAAAAAAAACAACTGCAGCCTGGTATCTTACGTATCGAAGGAGCACGAGCCTACCAGATGCCTTCGCAGCTTAATGATATGTGGACTTACAAATACGACAGTTATTTATACTTAGTTTAATAAATGACAGTGTTTTCATTTGCGTTAGGGCAATAGTTTATTGGCATTGCGGCTTCGGGAAAATAATATTGAATAAATTGTAAGAAAAATTGGTAATACCTAAGTAGTAGCTTAAAAATTAAACCATTGAAATGTATAAAATGCAAGGTAACATTTTATTAATACCATAAAATATAGATTTTATGATATTACATAATTAGCTCGAAACTGAACTATAAAGCGTTCTCCATCCAATTAGGGTGAATACCGTAATGTCTCCCGCAATAAATATTAATACCCCAGTGAATGTCAATAAGTAGCGGGCAAGTTAAAGACCGAACGGTCATTAGTGGTAAAAACATTTCAAAATCAAACATTAAGTTACTCAACCGACAGAACTTCAGCTTCAAAACTGCGAGATGCTTTAGGGTGCCTACTATTTAAATGATTGGCAAAAAATGGAGTAGGTACTCTTGTTTTTGCGAACAAGTTTGTCAGGAACGTTAAAATATTTTTGAAACGCCCTGTGAATTTGTAATACGATTTTTGAGGGGCTCAAATCTTCAGGGCAAAAACTATCAGGTATATAGATAAGTATATAAACCTTTATCAGAATACCACAATCAAAAAATTCGAAATATATATTAATATAACAGTTTAAAAGTTATTATTTTCACTTCTACTGTGTTTTTTTTTTTCTTACCTAAACTGATAGCCTTGAGAGGCTATTTCAGCGTAACCTTAACTAGTAGGTGAGCTCACGGGGCTCAAACCGAAGTGATGCTAACACTGAGCCTAGCAAGAGCAGTGCTTCGCAGAATCTACCACCGGATCGGAAACGCGACCCACTGAGAACATCCGGCGAAAAACTCAGTGGGCTGTGTCTATGGGTTAATTCGCTCGTCGAGCCCTTCGTCGCAAGCGACGGGTTCGACGAGAACGGTGACACGGTGTGTTCCATCCTTGTCAAGGGGAGTGCTAACCGTTTCTCATTTCAATAGACACAAGACTACTGTGTTGCAGTCATGCGTTCCAATTTGAAGGGCAGTCAGCCGTTCTGCATAACAAATAAATTTTCAAACTTATGACTGAAAGTGGATAGCAGCATTCGTATTGCGTATGGACACCGGTGGTTTGTCAGGCCGTCTCCCCAAATTAAATTAAGCAAACCATGGGTACGAGAAAATATTTTTACTGTAGTCCCATTAGTGTTGACATTGGCCTCCTTATGATGAGAATTCTTAAACATTATCGTAAAAGGTAAGGTCACATAAATGTTGAAATTAATTGCCTCCTTATAATTTTAATATGGACTTGAAAAGAACGTATCTGTAAACAGTTACAGTTTTAATGTTACGAAACTGAACTTGTTCGATACACGAGCTACGTGAATTCAATAAAACATTTATTGACTCAATGTTGTTTTATTCTTATGTTTTAATGAATCTTAAATATAATTAATACGCTTTTATTAGCTTCAGACATATGTATAGTATGTAACGGAATCTTTGAGCATCATTTTGAAAAGCCGGATTAACTAGAAATTTGGTATACTTATTAGGGACCAATGACAATTCAATATTTAAAAAAAATGAGAAAAAAATGTGCATGGTATCAGTGACTATAAATATTTTATGAACAGATATAAGGGTTAATTTGATAATATCCTGAAAAGCACTCCATCCTTTTTTTACAATAAAATCATTTTTTCTCACACTATTTTTAATTCAAATTCATTAAAATTTATTTTCTATTTTTTAGTTGGATTTTCTATAAAAGCGTATTTTGTTAGTTTTTTTAAACTATTATTTATTTTAAGAGACGTAGCCCGCGGTTGAGGTAATTCAATTTTAGATTTATCTTACGTCAAACCCGTTCTTTATGAGCGCTTTCCTCGCAAAATTACTATCAACGCCAAATTTAATTATATTACGAAGTCTTTCGGATGGATACTTTCGGAGATTTTTTTATGTGTGTTATTTCCAGCATAAAAAATGCACATTTAGTTAAATTTGCGGTCTAACAGATTTTTTTTTGGAACGAAGTTCCTTTAGGGACGATGCGGAGGGGTACCGTAAACGGGAAAAAACGTCCGTAACATAAGATTTTTATTAGTAATGCACACAGTATACGACTTAACTTTGTAATAACGTCCAAAAAATAACATATTTTTACTATATATATTTTTATAAATCATTGTGATTAAAATAAAGTTGATAACTTTGTAAGGTAGTTTTTTTTTATTTATCAATAAAAAAATCATGATAATTTTATTATGTATACCCGAATAATTATTTTCTTTATACCTCAAATAGATCTTAAAATTAATATTTTTATAATAACTTCTTTCATATCCGGTATCCCACGACACCACACATCTTTTTTAATTTTTAAACTAAATTCATATGGATTGTACTATTCATATTTCGCACATATCATAGAGCCGGCCGCGTCTATTTGTCAATATTTATCAGATAGAATGACGGTGCGTGAAAGTTAATCAGCCTCTGTTTGTTAATGTTATCAGTGCAGGGCTTTGTTTGTAAACTAGTTTTAATATTTACTAATAAAAAAAAACCATTTAAACGGTTTTCGTGTTTGTGGCCCGTGACTCGTCCCTTTGCGTGCTTAACAGACCGCAGTTTTGATGTAGCGCATATACTGTTATTTTTTATTGTTGTCTAGATCCGACGAGCAGACAGCCTGCCCGATTCTATACGTTTATAGTTTGGCTATGCCTGTTGGAAAAGTCGAAGATACCTAAGATAAGAAGAAAGATACCTAAACACTAGGACCGCGGTCACAATATTCGATTACTAAAGTAGGGGAGCCCACGATGCTAAATGGGAATTTACTCGAGCGTCATAGAGACCTGTTGAGTTGCAAAGCTTAGATGATAATAAGAAAAAAATGTCATATAATGTATACCTTTTCATCTGTGGGGGAAGCGGCTATAGATTTTCAAATTTGTTAAATAATCTGTTGCTTCGACATACTCGAGCGCGTCAGATATTGATAGCGTAAATGTTCTACGTATTTTTAATAATATATGAATGCTAATCTGATCGCTTGCATGATGGGGGTGGTTAAGTAAGGGTTGATAATGAAAAAAAAATATTGAGTAAATCACGAAATACTCGCTTGAGAGAGAGAGAGAGAGAGAGAGAGTATTCTTTATTGTACGCCAAAAAACAAATAAACAGTGCGATACATTAAATACAAAAAAGTACAATTGGCGGTCTTATCGATAAGAGCGATCTCTTCCAGACAACCATCAGGTGCACAAATATCATTTGGAAACGAATTCAGCTCCCCCTACTACTAGTTCTGAAAGTTGAAAAAGATCAAAAGTTCCTTACAAGGCACAGCACGTGCTCACTGACAAGTGAATGCGTATGTTTATATATAAATGTACCGGTTTATTACCGGTTGGTTGAGAGCCAAGGTCGTAGACGGGTTCCGAGACGCTCTGACTAAGAACGGTTTAATGTTGCAGAATATGTTATCAACCTGTTGCACCACTGAGGTCAACGGTAATTTCTGTAGTATTACGTGCAAATAATACGATATTATGCAACTATAGTTGTTGTCTCGTTTTCAAAAGAACTTGTTTTAACAATTTTTTTTATTGCCCGAGGCAGACGAGCATACGGCCCACCTGATGGTGAGTGGTTACCGTCGCCCATGGACTCGAGCAATGCCAGTGGCAGAGCCAAGCCGCTGCCTGCCTAATTTGGAAGAACGCATTAACATTAGCATAAGCTATGGTAAGGCATCCCACACACATCCCGAAGCAAGCCTTGAAGTGGACCCCTCAGGGCAAGCGAAAAGTAGGTCGTTCCAAGCAGACCTGGTGGTGTACTGTGGGGGCGGAGTTAAAGACAATCAAGCTAACCTGGCCTGAAGCAGAGCGCGTATTCCAAGACCGATCGCGATGGCAAAATACCGTTGGAGCCCTTTGCCCTAACTGGAGCCTTATCACTTTAAGCATAAGGCATATTGTAATTCTCCACGGATAGGTATTACCATTCAACTTATTTCTGCCGCAAAGTAAATCGCGGCTTGAACTGTGGAACAGTGGTTAAGCTGTCTTCTTCTATAGACTCCGATAATAGTGGTATATAAAATATGGTGGCAGATTTAAATCATACAATCATCTTATATTTCATCATCATATATTCACCCAAGGTACGTGTGTAATATTTGGCTCTGGAATGTACTTCCCATCCATGGTATTTCCTGGGCGTTGTAACAAGTCAAGTCGCCGTAGCTATCCCTCTGGCTTGGCTGATGTCCATCGGCGACCACTCACCAAACAAAAGAAAGTAACAATAATGATGAACTAATAATAAATACTGACTAAGTAAGTTTCAGAAATTGTAAACACAAATACGAAGTTGGTCAGTCATCCGTGACTATGAAAATTGTAATGTATTCGAAGCATCATGAATACTACATATTATATTATTATTAAAAATAGCAAACGCTACAGTAAGCCATAAAAACAGTTTTAATTAATTAGAGACGAATTTTAAAAAATCAGGTGTATCATTAACCTTAAATTTGATTTATAATAAAATCAATACGACTGCAAAAACTGCAATAGGGTTGCTACCGTTTTTATTTAAGGAAACAAAATCGAATAGTTATTAAATGTTTTATCGTGTGAAAGAAATGCTTACGTTAACGCTGAAACGTAAATAATAATTTATTGTAATGGGATTAGAAATGAACTTGAAGGCATTCGGATCAACACGTACATACGTATTGTTCGAACGCAAAAAAAAACTGTCGGCTTTTACTGCGACTATATAGGCTAATGCTTCAAGTTATTGACAAGATTTATAAAGACTATTGTATCTTATACCTTTGAACGAGCAATTCTTGTATATTAATATATATATATATAATCTGAATCTGGGAAATGGCTCCAATGATTTTCATTAAATTTAGTAAACAGGGGATTTCGGGGGCGATAAATCGATCTAGCTACGATTTATTTTCAGAAAATGTTGTTTTATTCGTGTTTTCAATAATCAACTCTTCCCGACATCTATTGGCGAATAATAATACTATTTTTCTTAATTGAGGGCAACTAACCGCTTTAAAGACACAACAAGAGGGCGTTATCAAAAAAAAAAAACCGAGCAAAGCTGGGTCATCATCTAGTTTATCTTGATATTGACGACAAGCTGTTGTAAATATCAACGTGACACCTTTAAGAAAGCGTTGGTGGGTGGCGACATCTGTGCTGTTGATGTCTATGAGCTATACCAGGAGTCACCAATTAGTATTTTTTACATATCAATGTGAATTTTTTTTTTTTGTGGCGGACTATCTTTTTGAAGTTTGGTGCAAACTATTGACGTTAAGTCCTGGAGATGTTCAGCAGAAAGTCGAGATCGAAACTTATTCTTAATGAAGGTCATCTTTGAAAACGTTGCTTCACAAATACATATAATGTTGACCCACACAAAATAAGAAGTTTCAAGGGTAATTTTTGTAGTTCTGGATATTTATTACCAGCTTTGTCCAGAGTTCTTCACTGGAAACTTTCGTACTCTTTCGTACCTTCGTAGTGCAAGTTGCTGTGTTCTTGCGGTCCGCACAAAATGAGTCGACCCATTGAGTAGGGATCCATTGAGTGAGTACACTAACCAATCAACACCAGATAGGCCATTGAGTGACCCCTGGGCTACACGGACCAATCATCACCAGATAGGCCATTGAGTGACCCCTGGGCTACACTGACCAATCAACACCAGATAGGCCATTGAGTGACCCCTGGGCTACACTGACCAATCAACACCAAATTGGCCATTGTGTGACCCCTGGGCTACACTGACCAATCATCACCAGATAGGCCATTGAGTGACCCCTGGGCTACACTGACCAATCAACACCAAATTGGCCATTGTGTGACCCCTGGGCTACACTGACCAATCATCACCAGATAGACCATTGAATGACCTCTGGGCTACACTAACCAATCAACACCAGATAGG